GACCAGCAACGTCTACGTGCTTTTGACCCTCATGCCTGTCATCCTGATGGTGGGCATCGCGTGCCTGGCCGTCTTCGTCTTTATGTACAACAAGAAAAGGTCCGCTCTTCCCCCCCCTTTTTTTAAAAAACCTGGCCCAAGTGTGGAGGGGGGACTCTCGGGAGCCCCGAAGGCTGCCCGTTGGGAGGTGGCGCAGAGGCGGGGCGGTGGCAGCTGACACGGAGTGGGCCGAGAACCGCCACGGGCTGCGTGAGGCTCCAGCCCCAACTCTTCCCCCCCCCCTCCCTTCCAGGAGCACGGAGGGATACCCCAGCGGCACCCTCTACGCCTCCGTCAACCCCGAGTACTTCAGCACGTCTAACAGTGAGTACCGAGGGCCTCTGGAGACCGGCTCTTTCCGGGGGGGGGGGCGGAATGTCTGTGCCGATCGCGGCTCCTGCTTCAGGGAGGGAAGAGGGAGAAGCAAAGAGACCCCTTTGAGGAAGGAGCAGAGTTGGCCCTTCAGGGCAGTCACGGAAGAACTGCCGTCCTCTCAGGAGAAGGAGGAGGAGGAGGGGGAAGAAGAGGAAGGCCCAGGACCCTTGGACTTCTCCGGCTCTGCTTTCTTTCTCAAAGCAGGGTAGGCCAGGCAGAGAGAGAGAGAGAGAGAGGCTGGCTGGCTGGAGGTGCCCTGAGGGAAGGCCCCCCTCCGCCCCTCGCGGCGCGCTGGCCACCCTTCCCTGCCCTCCCTTGGCCGGCTTTGACCCGCGGCTCCCCGTTTGCCCCAGTGTACATCCCGGACGAGTGGGAGGTCCCGCGGGAGAAGATCACGGTGCTGCGGGAGCTGGGCCAAGGGTCCTTCGGGATGGTCTACGAGGGGGTGGCCCGGGGCCTCGAGCAGGAGGGCGAGGAGGAGACCAGGGTGGCCCTGAAGACCGTCAACGAGCTGGCCACCATGCGGGAGCGGATCGAGTTCCTGAACGAGGCCTCTGNCCCCAGGCCAGGGCAGGGCTGCTGGTAGGCATCGGTGGGGGGGGGCCTAAGAGGGGGGCCTGGCCCTCAGCCTCCAGGAGCCTCTTTCAGCCTGACCAGGTCAGAGACCGGGGGGGGGCTTGTTGGAGACCCCAGCCTCAGGAGGAACAGCCTGTGAGCCCTGCTGCCCCTTCCCCTGCCCACCTCTGGGTACTCGGAAGGGGACCAGTGGTTGAGGGCTGCTGGTAGGCATCGGTGGGGGGGGGCCTAAGAGGGGGGCCTGGCCCTCAGCCTCCAGGAGCCTCTTTCAGCCTGACCAGGTCAGAGACCGGGGGGGGGCTTGTTGGAGACCCCAGCCTCAGGAGGAACAGCCTGTGAGCCCTGCTGCCCCTTCCCCTGCCCACCTCTGGGTACTCGGAAGGGGACCAGTGGTTGGTGTCATGGCCCCCCCCTCCGGTCCTATTACCCCTGTTAGAAAAGGCATTAACTGACCGCAGTGACACACACACACACGCACAAAGTGCTTTGAACTCCACTCTGCCAACCACGTGGTTCCTGCTGCCGGCCCACAGGTCCGCCTGCTGGGGGTGGTGTCGCAGGGCCAGCCGGTCCTGGTCATCATGGAGCTGATGACACGAGGAGACCTGAAGAGCTACCTCCGTTCCCTCCGGCCGGAGGCTGAGGTGGGTGGCGCTTCCAGCTGCTTCCCCTCGGGGGGGGGGGCAGCACCTCCTGGGCTCTCGTCGGCTGCCGCCTGGACCCGACCCATGACAGATTTTTCTCTGCTAGAATAACCCCGGCCGGCCTCCCCCCTCGCTGAAGGATATGATCCAAATGGCCGGCGAGATCGCCGATGGCATGGCCTACCTCCACGCCAAGAAGTTTGTGCACCGGGACCTTGCGGCCCGCAACTGCATGGTGTCGGAAGGCTTCACCGTGAAGATCGGAGGTGGGCGGGGTGGAGCCTCCCCCGGGATTGACGCGGGAGGGGGGTGTCCTTCCTTCTTTCCTTACGGGTGACGCCCCCCCTCTCTCGCCCTCCGGAAAGATTTTGGCATGACCAGGGACATCTATGAGACCGACTACTACCGCAAGGGGGGGAAAGGGCTGCTCCCCGTCCGCTGGATGTCCCCGGAGGCCCTGAAGGACGGGATCTTCAACACCCACTCCGACATCTGGTGAGAGGCCTCCTCGGGGAGATGGGCCGGGAGGCGCCCCGTCGTCCGACCCTTGTGCGTCACCCTGTTTCCTGCACAGAGGAGGCAGCTGCCCTGTGGAGGACCAAGGGTAGCAGAAGGGGGAATACCACCCTCCTCGCCCCTCTCAGGCCCCTCCCGGGGCCATGGCCTGCGCAGGATCCTTGCAGGGGCCCGGCAGCTCAGCCCCCTCTGGCTCTCAGGATGGGGAGCGGGCAGGGAGGAACATGGGACAGGAGGGGAAGGTTCCTGGCGGTCTGATGGGGGTAAGAGCACCCGCCTGAGTTGCCAAGCACCACGAGGCTCACGGTTGGCCCGGCTTTGCTTGCCTTTTGGGAGGGCTTCGTGCCGTGGGCCCCTGCCTCCCCCCCGTGCGCCTCATGCCGTGGGGCTGAGGGGGGGGCTTTTCTGCGGCGGCTGTTCCAGGTCCTTCGGGGTGGTGCTCTGGGAGATCGCGACCTTGGCGGAGCAGCCCTACCAGGGCTTGTCCAACGAGCAGGTGCTGCGCTTCGTGATGGACAGCGGCGTCCTGGAGAGGCCGGAGAACTGCCCAGAGAAGCTGTGAGTCCCGCCACCCCCCTTCTTTCCCCGCCTGGCCACCGCCTGAGCCTGTGCAGCAGCAGGCCTTTGAGGGCTCAGGGGCAAGGCTCAGGGGCTGGGCGGCCCTCCCTCCCTCCCTCTCCCTCTCTCACACACACACAAATCCTCCTGCCCAGGCTGTGGCCATGCTCCGGAAGCTGAGCTTTGGTTGGGAAAGAGCCTGGACGCCTCAGGCCTAAGGAGGCCAGTCTGGGCAGAGGCGGGCTGGTTAACTGATGAACTGGGAGAGCCGCTCACCTTGTCTGGAGCCTTCCCGACACTCCAGAGGCATTTCGAGAGGCGTGGGCATCTTTTGCTTTTCAAGCGATGTCCCCTTGCCAGTTCCAGGTGGCAAGGAACGTCCGTCGGGTTTGGCTTTCTCCTGTAAAATGTTTCAGAGACTCTGTGGTCGTTCTGTCTTGTAGCAAAAATCAGCAAAGGGCCTTTGGGGAACCTTAAGGCCAAGCCGAAGGTAATATAAGCTTAGTGGACTGGAAAGGTTGCAATGCCAGTGTCGTCCGCTGGCTGGCGAGAGGAACCAGGAGGGTCCTTGCCTTGCCTTGCCTTGCCTTGCCTTTGGTGTGCCACGTCTTCTTGGCAAAGGCACAGAGCAAGAGGTCCCTTTGCTGGAGGCAGCCTAGCGGTCCGGAGAGCTTGAAAGGCTTCCCTGAGCAACCCTCTCCTCCAAGTGCTGCCTGAGGAAAGGAGGCTGGCTCCCTGGAATCCTTAACCACGAGGCCTTCCTTCTTTCCTCTTTCCCCCTTCCTCTAGCCACGAGCTCATGAGGTGGTGCTGGCAGCAGAACCCTCGCCTCCGCCCGTCCTTCATTGAGATCCTGGAGAGCATCGGAGAGTTCATGAGCCCCAGCTTCCGCGCTCACTCTTTCTTCTACAGCTCGCAGGAGAAGCGTGGCAGCTCCTCAGAGGCTTTGGAAGCCGAGAAGCAGCAACTGCTGGCCGGGACGGAGGAGAAGGAGGAGGAGTGGGAAGAACCCGCCCGGTCTCCCCAGGCCTCTCCCCCCAGCGGCAGCCCCCAGCGTGCTCCAGGCCTCTGCGAGAACCAGAGCTAGCCCACGGCCGGCTGCCACGCCGAGGGGAAGAAGCCACACCTCTGAAGAGGGCTCGCACAGAGAGAAGGCCGCGGACTTCCTCCCTCTCAGGGACAGGGGCCTCTGGACTGCCTGCCCGCCTGCCCGCCCAAGAAGGGCTGCTTTCTGACACCTTGGGCCTCTCTGCCGCCTGCCCAGAAGGAGGATGCGGGTGGCAGAAGGAAGGACCCCTGGAGCACAGAGGATGTGGGGACAAAACCCGGAGGCGGGAGTGGCGAGGGGGGGCTTCCACGGAGAGCAGCGACCACGTTTTGCAAGAACCTCCCTCTCCTACGTCCTGCCGCATGGCGTGGAAGACCAGATGTGGGCCAAAGACCCCTTCCTCCAGATCAGGGACAGGGGCTGGGGTGTAGCTAGCAAGGCCGGCCGGCCGACGAGGGATCCTTGGTGCTCTGGGCGCTTCAGTTGGAAGCGCTTACTGGACTCGCCTTGCTCCTGGTTGGGATCCCGATGGCGAGAGAACGACGGACTCCCTGGAAAGGAGGTGAGGTCTCATGGGCTGGAGGACGGTGGAGGGTTGGAGGGGGCAGACGGTAGGCGAGGGTGGTGGGCAGCAAACGGGAAGGGACTCGAGGCAAGCTCTGCTTCAGCTGCCAAACACATGGTCGGTCCACCGGTGTGGCTTCCTCCTCCTCCTCCTCCTCCTCCTCCTCTTCCTCCTTCTCCACTGAGGAATGCAAACGGACTCGGGCGCCTCTAGAAGAGGAGGGTCTCTCCACCCAGCTGTGCAGAGAGAGCTCAGAGGCACAAGATTTTAATAAAACTCCCTTTTTCCTACGGAGACAAGAAGGTGACTGTGGCACTTGACTCTTGATTGTGTATCTGCCGTCTGGGGGATAATTTCTTTTTCTTTTTTTAAAGCCAGGAAGATGCTGCAGTCCATGGTCATCCAATAAAGAAAACTTACAGGTGTAAAAACATTTATAAACAATGCAACCAACACTGATCAGATATGAAGACGAGACAGCACTTAGTCCTACACATCTCGGCAGACGAAACAAGACTAAAATGCTAACATATAACCAAAGAAGGGCGCCCTTTTCCTGGGTATTAAGAGGTAGCGTTCCCTAGCGTGAAGAGTCTCAGTTGAACCACAAGAGGGCGCCCTTTTCATGGGCATTAAGAGGTAGCCGTCCCTAGCCTGAAGCGTCTGTTGACCCACAAGAGGGCGCCCTTTTCATGGGCATTAAGAGGTAGCCGTCCCTAGCCTGAAGCGTCTGTTGACCCACAAGAGGGCGCCCTTTTCATGGGCATTAAGAGGTAGCCGTCCCTAGCCTGAAGCGTCTGTTGACCCACAAGAGGGCGCCCTTTTCATGGGCATTAAGAGGTAGCCGTCCCTAGCCTGAAGCGTCTGTTGACCCACAAGAGGGCGCCCTTTTCATGGGCATTAAGAGGTAGCCGTCCCTAGCCTGAAGCGTCTGTTGACCCACAAGAGGGCGCCCTTTTCATGGGCATTAAGAGGTAGCCGTCCCTAGCCTGAAGCGTCTGTTGACCCACAAGAGGGCGCCCTTTTCATGGGCATTAAGAGGTAGCCGTCCCTAGCCTGAAGCGTCTGTTGACCCACAAGAGGGCGCCCTTTTCATGGGCATTAAGAGGTAGCCGTCCCTAGCCTGAAGCGTCTGTTGACCCACAAGAGGGCGCCCTTTTCATGGGCATTAAGAGGTAGCCGTCCCTAGCCTGAAGCGTCTGTTGACCCACAAGAGGGCGCCCTTTTCATGGGCATTAAGAGGTAGCCGTCCCTAGCCTGAAGCGTCTGTTGACCCACAAGAGGGCGCCCTTTTCATGGGCATTAAGAGGTAGCCGTCCCTAGCCTGAAGCGTCTGTTGACCCACAAGAGGGCGCCCTTTTCATGGGCATTAAGAGGTAGCCGTCCCTAGCCTGAAGCGTCTGTTGACCCACAAGAGGGCGCCCTTTTCATGGGCATTAAGAGGTAGCCGTCCCTAGCCTGAAGCGTCTGTTGACCCACAAGAGGGCGCCCTTTTCATGGGCATTAAGAGGTAGCCGTCCCTAGCCTGAAGCGTCTGTTGACCCACAAGAGGGCGCCCTTTTCATGGGCATTAAGAGGTAGCCGTCCCTAGCCTGAAGCGTCTGTTGACCCACAAGAGGGCGCCCTTTTCCTGGGCATTAAGAGGTAGCGGTCCCTAGCCTGAAGAGTCTCATTTGAACCACAAGAGGGTGCCCTTTTCATGGGCATTAAGAGGTAGCCGTCCCTAGCCTGAAGAGTCTGTTGAACCACAAGAGGGCGCCCTTTTCCTAGGCGTTAAGAGGTAGCGTTCCCTGGCCTGAAGAGTCCCAGTTGAACCATAAGAGGGCGCTCTTTTCCTGGGCCTTAAGAGGTAGCGTTCCCTAGCTTGAAGAGTCCCAGTTGACCCACAAGAGGGCGCTCTTTTCCTGGGTGTTAAGAGGGAGCATTCCCTAGCCTGAAGAGTCTCAGATGACCCACAAGAGGGCGCCCTTTTCCTAGGCGTTAAGAGGTAGCGTTCCCTGGCCTGAAGAGTCCCAGTTGAACCATAAGAGGGCGCTCTTTTCCTGGGCCTTAAGAGGTAGCGTTCCCTAGCTTGAAGAGTCCCAGTTGACCCACAAGAGGGCGCTCTTTTCCTGGGTGTTAAGAGGGAGCATTCCCTAGCCTGAAGAGTCTCAGATGACCCACAAGAGGGCGCCCTTTTCCTAGGCGTTAAGAGGTAGCGTTCCCTGGCCTGAAGAGTCCCAGTTGAACCATAAGAGGGCGCTCTTTTCCTGGGCCTTAAGAGGTAGCGTTCCCTAGCTTGAAGAGTCCCAGTTGACCCACAAGAGGGCGCTCTTTTCCTGGGTGTTAAGAGGGAGCATTCCCTAGCCTGAAGAGTCTCAGATGACCCACAAGAGGGCGCCCTTTTCCTAGGCGTTAAGAGGTAGCGTTCCCTGGCCTGAAGAGTCCCAGTTGAACCATAAGAGGGCGCTCTTTTCCTGGGCCTTAAGAGGTAGCGTTCCCTAGCTTGAAGAGTCCCAGTTGACCCACAAGAGGGCGCTCTTTTCCTGGGTGTTAAGAGGGAGCATTCCCTAGCCTGAAGAGTCTCAGATGACCCACAAGAGGGCGCCCTTTTCCTAGGCGTTAAGAGGTAGCGTTCCCTGGCCTGAAGAGTCCCAGTTGAACCATAAGAGGGCGCTCTTTTCCTGGGCCTTAAGAGGTAGCGTTCCCTAGCTTGAAGAGTCCCAGTTGACCCACAAGAGGGCGCTCTTTTCCTGGGTGTTAAGAGGGAGCATTCCCTAGCCTGAAGAGTCTCAGATGACCCACAAGAGGGCGCCCTTTTCCTAGGCGTTAAGAGGTAGCGTTCCCTGGCCTGAAGAGTCCCAGTTGAACCATAAGAGGGCGCTCTTTTCCTGGGCCTTAAGAGGTAGCGTTCCCTAGCTTGAAGAGTCCCAGTTGACCCACAAGAGGGCGCTCTTTTCCTGGGTGTTAAGAGGGAGCATTCCCTAGCCTGAAGAGTCTCAGATGACCCACAAGAGGGCGCCCTTTTCCTAGGCGTTAAGAGGTAGCGTTCCCTGGCCTGAAGAGTCCCAGTTGAACCATAAGAGGGCGCTCTTTTCCTGGGCCTTAAGAGGTAGCGTTCCCTAGCTTGAAGAGTCCCAGTTGACCCACAAGAGGGCGCTCTTTTCCTGGGTGTTAAGAGGGAGCATTCCCTAGCCTGAAGAGTCTCAGATGACCCACAAGAGGGCGCCCTTTTCCTAGGCGTTAAGAGGTAGCGTTCCCTGGCCTGAAGAGTCCCAGTTGAACCATAAGAGGGCGCTCTTTTCCTGGGCCTTAAGAGGTAGCGTTCCCTAGCTTGAAGAGTCCCAGTTGACCCACAAGAGGGCGCTCTTTTCCTGGGTGTTAAGAGGGAGCATTCCCTAGCCTGAAGAGTCTCAGATGACCCACAAGAGGGCGCCCTTTTCCTAGGCGTTAAGAGGTAGCGTTCCCTGGCCTGAAGAGTCCCAGTTGAACCATAAGAGGGCGCTCTTTTCCTGGGCCTTAAGAGGTAGCGTTCCCTAGCTTGAAGAGTCCCAGTTGACCCACAAGAGGGCGCTCTTTTCCTGGGTGTTAAGAGGGAGCATTCCCTAGCCTGAAGAGTCTCAGATGACCCACAAGAGGGCGCCCTTTTCCTAGGCGTTAAGAGGTAGCGTTCCCTGGCCTGAAGAGTCCCAGTTGAACCATAAGAGGGCGCTCTTTTCCTGGGCCTTAAGAGGTAGCGTTCCCTAGCTTGAAGAGTCCCAGTTGACCCACAAGAGGGCGCTCTTTTCCTGGGTGTTAAGAGGGAGCATTCCCTAGCCTGAAGAGTCTCAGATGACCCACAAGAGGGCGCCCTTTTCCTAGGCGTTAAGAGGTAGCGTTCCCTGGCCTGAAGAGTCCCAGTTGAACCATAAGAGGGCGCTCTTTTCCTGGGCCTTAAGAGGTAGCGTTCCCTAGCTTGAAGAGTCCCAGTTGACCCACAAGAGGGCGCTCTTTTCCTGGGTGTTAAGAGGGAGCATTCCCTAGCCTGAAGAGTCTCAGATGACCCACAAGAGGGCGCCCTTTTCCTAGGCGTTAAGAGGTAGCGTTCCCTGGCCTGAAGAGTCCCAGTTGAACCATAAGAGGGCGCTCTTTTCCTGGGCCTTAAGAGGTAGCGTTCCCTAGCTTGAAGAGTCCCAGTTGACCCACAAGAGGGCGCTCTTTTCCTGGGTGTTAAGAGGGAGCATTCCCTAGCCTGAAGAGTCTCAGATGACCCACAAGAGGGCGCCCTTTTCCTAGGCGTTAAGAGGTAGCGTTCCCTGGCCTGAAGAGTCCCAGTTGAACCATAAGAGGGCGCTCTTTTCCTGGGCCTTAAGAGGTAGCGTTCCCTAGCTTGAAGAGTCCCAGTTGACCCACAAGAGGGCGCTCTTTTCCTGGGTGTTAAGAGGGAGCATTCCCTAGCCTGAAGAGTCTCAGATGACCCACAAGAGGGCGCCCTTTTCCTAGGCGTTAAGAGGTAGCGTTCCCTGGCCTGAAGAGTCCCAGTTGAACCATAAGAGGGCGCTCTTTTCCTGGGCCTTAAGAGGTAGCGTTCCCTAGCTTGAAGAGTCCCAGTTGACCCACAAGAGGGCGCTCTTTTCCTGGGTGTTAAGAGGGAGCATTCCCTAGCCTGAAGAGTCTCAGATGACCCACAAGAGGGCGCCCTTTTCCTAGGCGTTAAGAGGTAGCGTTCCCTGGCCTGAAGAGTCCCAGTTGAACCATAAGAGGGCGCTCTTTTCCTGGGCCTTAAGAGGTAGCGTTCCCTAGCTTGAAGAGTCCCAGTTGACCCACAAGAGGGCGCTCTTTTCCTGGGTGTTAAGAGGGAGCATTCCCTAGCCTGAAGAGTCTCAGATGACCCACAAGAGGGCGCCCTTTTCCTAGGCGTTAAGAGGTAGCGTTCCCTGGCCTGAAGAGTCCCAGTTGAACCATAAGAGGGCGCTCTTTTCCTGGGCCTTAAGAGGTAGCGTTCCCTAGCTTGAAGAGTCCCAGTTGACCCACAAGAGGGCGCTCTTTTCCTGGGTGTTAAGAGGGAGCATTCCCTAGCCTGAAGAGTCTCAGATGACCCACAAGAGGGCGCCCTTTTCCTAGGCGTTAAGAGGTAGCGTTCCCTGGCCTGAAGAGTCCCAGTTGAACCATAAGAGGGCGCTCTTTTCCTGGGCCTTAAGAGGTAGCGTTCCCTAGCTTGAAGAGTCCCAGTTGACCCACAAGAGGGCGCTCTTTTCCTGGGTGTTAAGAGGGAGCATTCCCTAGCCTGAAGAGTCTCAGATGACCCACAAGAGGGCGCCCTTTTCCTAGGCGTTAAGAGGTAGCGTTCCCTGGCCTGAAGAGTCCCAGTTGAACCATAAGAGGGCGCTCTTTTCCTGGGCCTTAAGAGGTAGCGTTCCCTAGCTTGAAGAGTCCCAGTTGACCCACAAGAGGGCGCTCTTTTCCTGGGTGTTAAGAGGGAGCATTCCCTAGCCTGAAGAGTCTCAGATGACCCACAAGAGGGCGCCCTTTTCCTAGGCGTTAAGAGGTAGCGTTCCCTGGCCTGAAGAGTCCCAGTTGAACCATAAGAGGGCGCTCTTTTCCTGGGCCTTAAGAGGTAGCGTTCCCTAGCTTGAAGAGTCCCAGTTGACCCACAAGAGGGCGCTCTTTTCCTGGGTGTTAAGAGGGAGCATTCCCTAGCCTGAAGAGTCTCAGATGACCCACAAGAGGGCGCCCTTTTCCTAGGCGTTAAGAGGTAGCGTTCCCTGGCCTGAAGAGTCCCAGTTGAACCATAAGAGGGCGCTCTTTTCCTGGGCATTAAGAGGTTGCGTTCCTAGCCTGAAGAGTCTCAGTTGAACCACAAGAGGGCGCCCTTTTCCTGGGCATTAAGAGATTGTTTCTTAGCTTTCACAGTCCCAGCTGGGCCACATGAGCGTAGCCTTTTCTGGGGCATTATGAGGTAGCGTTATCTAGCCTGCAAAATAGCATTTGAGCCACAGGAGGGCGCCCTTTTTCATGGGAATAAAGAGGTAGTGTTCCCTAGCCCGCAGAGTCCCAATTCAGCCACCAGAACGCACTTTTAGTGCTTTTATTTTAGTTTCCTAGTGTTCATTAGCCAAATATAGCCACCAGAGGCTGTACTTCTGGTATTTTGGGCTTATTTTTGCAGTTTGTAGGGTGCAGATGTTGCCAGAAGGCAGCCCACTTTTCATATCCTTAATTCAGTATAGGGCTCTGGAAAGGTCCTCAATCATATTATTTTAGTATGAATTATAAAAGCAATAACCTGGAAGTTTTAGGTGCCAAGAGTAGTGTTCGTGGTAGGCCTGATTTTTAAGTAATACTTCCATTCCTGGGTTTGATTCATATCTATGGAAAATACAGTTATTTTGTGTAGTTTCCAGAGTTGTAGGAAGTAGAACAAAACAAAGAAAGGAAAGCAATCAAACAACCCAAAGCAAGACACATTGTCTCCATCCTTTGAAGCTTTATTTAGCATTTTTTTCTGTCACATACAACATGGCCTGGGGTGTTACAAGAAGCCTGTACACCTCCATTCTGAAAAGATGAAAACCCTCCCGGGCCTGTTTCGACACCCAAAAATCAGCCCGAATGCATTTGGATTGAAACTGCTTGTCCCTGGGCGTCCTGGGTTGTCTACGTGTTCTTGCTGTTCCGTCACAGCAAGCGGAACAGGCAAGGCCAGCCTTGCACGTGTTCCAGAGGTTTCCCGGCCACAGTCAGAGTCTCTCCAAATTAACGTGTTGCTTTTGCACTTTGAATCGTTCAGATCGGCTCCTCTGGAATCCAGGGGAGCCCTGAGGTGGCAGTTGTGAAAAGAGGCTGCGAGAGCAATGCTCTTTTTTGCCTTTTTTTCTTTTCTGGTGAAGGAAGCAGTTTGCTCTTTCCCATCTGGGCAACCGTCTCTCTCTGCACGCACGTCTTCGTGTCAGTGGTACAAAACCCCCAAGGGCTGAAAGTACTGGATACTTCACGCAAAGACAAAATAACGCAGCGGTTGTGTAAAATCTATAAAAAACAGGGCTCGGGTGTACTTTGGGTTGGGAGAAATAAAACATCACGAAACATTGTCTTGTGTATGCTTCTACATAGAGGGGCCAGTCCCAGAAAACAGTAGTTGTGAAATGCCTACCTGGAGGTTGTGTTCTTTTTAAAGTTTGTGACATCACAGAACACACAACCCTGATTCTAGCACAACTGTGTAAATGCCAGACTCATCTGACAAAGCAGACATTTTTAGCAGTGCAGATCTTGTACTACAAGGTCTGTGAGCATTTCTGGAAGGAAGCCAGAAGGAACGCCTCTGGCTCTCTCTCTTTAGGACTGGCGGTGGCGGAGGAATCCCAAAGGGGTTTCCCGAAGGTTGGGAAAATCAGATGCAAAAAGGAACAGTCGGTCGCTCAGGTGAGGGGTGGGGGGAGGCGGAGGAGCTGTCAGAGGCTGCTGGGAGAGGCCAGTTCGGACACGGGCCCAATATCCCTCCAAAGGTGACCAGTACTACGGGCAGAGCAATTCTCTCCCCCACAGGTGGCTCGGGACGCCAGCGATGCATGTACTGGACAGAGGCTGAGAAGAGGGCTCTTTAGGCAGAGGGGAGGATTCTCGAGGGGAGCCCCTGCTAGGAGAGAGGGAGCTTTGCCTTCGCTAGGCGTCAGCAGGTGAGAACGTCTGCGCTCTTCTCTTGCCGACCCTCGTTCCTTCCCGAAGAAGCTGCAATGGAAGCCGAAGCAGCGAGAGCAGCTGACGGAAGCCCTCTTCATCGGCCCTGTCGGCTGAGCGGCGGGGAGGGTGGGTAGTGCCGGACTGGAGGGATGTCGTAGTGGCTGGGAATGTGGCTGTTTTTGGGGGAGTCGTAGTGGTTGGGGGCAGGACCCAGGGCTGTGGGCGAGTGGCCTTCTGCCCCAGCTGCGCCGTTCCCTAGAAGAGGGTAAAAGGAACAAGCCCTGAACTCTGGAAATCCGTGCCCTCTTTGCTGCAGCAGCAAAGGGCAGAAACCAAGCAGAAAAAGGCAGCCAGCCGTGGGTTTGGCCTAGACCCGAAGCCTGGGTTTTGTTGAAGTCCCCCTTAAATCTACCTCACACACCCCATCATCCCCGATACCTCCTTCCGGCTCTCCCCCCAGATTCTGCTCGGGCTCTTCAACGAGGCTGATCTCGGCATACGAGCGCTCCCGCTGGGTGGGGGACTTCATTTCCACGTAGCTGCCTTCAGGGGGCTTGCTCGGGAGCACGGGAAGGTCCTTGATGGTGGAGTAGGGGTTCTCGCTGCTCAGGGAGCTCCTGCTCCAGCCTAGGGGCTCCTCTGGTGGGTAGCAGCCTGTGGGGGAAGCAGGAGGGCCAGGGCTCAGCACGGAGGCGCCTGGCAAGGGTCCCTGCCCTCCTCAGCCCAGTTCTGGGACTGGTGGCCAAACCAACCCCCTCCCTGGGTGAGGAAGGCAGGCCGGCTGCCTCGGCTTCTACGTAAGCAGGGAGAGGCACCTCGGCGGGGCCATCCAGGCGAAGCCTCCTCCCCGCTTTGAGCCCCACGCCACTCCCGATTACCTTGGCCACAGGTTCTGCTCAGCCCGTTGGTGTAGCTGTAGCTGCGGTCCCTCTGGGCTCCTTCTGGACACGGCCGGCAGGGCGGGAAGGGTGGCAAACACAACATTGTCACCAGATTCAAAGAGCCACTTTGCTCGGAAGGCAAACACCATGGCNTGAAACCCCGCAAGGAGAGGCCCCCCCCCCCCGGTGCCACTGCCAAGCAGGGATGGAGCCATGGCGGGTCCTGGCCCTGCCCGTGTGTATGTGTGTGTGCTCACCTGTGTACGCAGGCTCACATAAAAGACAACTGTGTGCTCAGATCGGGCGCATCAGAAGCCAAACCAGTGGGAGGGGTTCTCACTTTCTGGGCCAGTGCTGAAATATCCCCCCCCCATCAGAGGAGAGGGCTGGGGGTGAGGGGGGGGGAGGCAGACCTTACCCTGGGGATGGGGGCCAAGGCTTGGGGAGCGATGCTCCCGTGTTCGGAAAGAACCAAACGCCATTTGGGAGCCTCCAGATAAACTGGTGGTAGTCTTTAAACAAGCCACCTTTGGCCTCTGCCATATACACAGGTACGTAAGACTGTTAACTTCCAAGGGCTTTTTTTACAATAAAAGAAACAAGCAAGCCACCGGCTCCTGGTCTTACGGCGTATGAAAGGCAGCCGGGTCATGAGGCCACGCTTGGAGGAGGAAGGTCAGGACCCTCACCTGGCCCTGCCTGGCCCAGCAAGGGTCCTCGTCCGGGGCAGTGCTTCCAGTCCGCAGGAAGGGTGGCGTTGCAGTCTGGCCCGGACATGGTGGGCCGCTCCCGCAGGCCGCTCCCACCTCTGGGGCCAGGGAAGAACTGGCTGGCGATCAGCTGGGAGGGGAGAGAACAGACCACCTCCTGAGCCGCAGGGAGCCCCGATGACATCCTTCACGGCCTCGGCCCTCCCCAGGGAGCCCAGCATCCTGGGCCAGTGGGGACTCTCTGCTGAGCCTGGCCTTTCTACAGGAAGAGGGGCGGGTGGGCTGAGCGGCCATAGCCACAACGGACCCCTTCCCACAAGAGCCACGTCTCCGGTTGGGTCCATGCTCGTCAGAGGAGACCCTCGGCGGCCCTCCTGGCTGGTGACTGGCCCAGCCTGGCCAGGGAGGCCCCGTTCCCAGCCTCTGGCTTGTTCCTGGTCCCGTTGCTGACAGACACCCGGCGCAAGCAGGCCAGGCCCACAAGTCCCCCTTCCTGGGCTTCTCCTTGGGTTACCGGCCTCAGGCACCCGCCTGGCAGGAAGGCGAGGCGGGGGGGGGGGAATGTCAGTATCACTGGAAGGGGAAGGGTCAAAGGCTGCTGGGGCCGGCCACCCTTCCGCCCCGCCCCCCCGCCCCCCCAGCTTTACTCCTGTTCTTGGGAGAAGCGCCTCCCCACTCCAGCTCCCGCCTGCTGCCCCTCGGCCCTGCTGTTGCAACACTGGGGTGAGGGGAAGAGCAGGGCGAATCCTGCAGGGAGTACAGCTCCTTGACATCCCGGAGATGGAGGCTCCAGCTCAAGGGGGAGGCCGTGCCCGGCGGGGTGTGTGTGTCCTTACCTTGCCAGAGCTTGGACTTTCCAGAGAACCGGGGCCTGGCACGCCCAGAGAGCAGGGCGAGAGGGTGTGGTAGCTGGGATTGGAGTAGTAGTGGTGGGTGTAACTGGGAGGAACGTCTACAAGGGAGAGAGAAAGGCAGGCAGAAGCTCAACGGGGCACCCCCGAGGGCCACTCCTGCAGATTGCAAGAGTGGCACCAAGGGGGGGGAGGCTTGCCCCACCCCTCTGGGCAGCAGTGCAGGTTCGCCAGAGATGGGGGGGGCTCACCTGGAACAGCGTACTCCGAACCGTCCGCTCCCCCTGCAGTGTAGGCCACAGAGAGGTGCCGGCTCTGCTTGTCTTTCTGCCAGTGCCGGTAGGAGAGGAAAAGCACAAGGACGCCCACGAGCAAAGCCGCCAGGACGACGAGTCCGACCACAGCCCCCATGGAGGGGGGGCCTGGCGGGGGGGCCGGAGCCACGGTGATGGGATGGCCTGGACTGCCTGCACGATAGACGGCAAACCCACCGTGAAGCCCTGGAGCTCCTTCCTCTTGGGAACCGTCTGTGTGCGCGGCTCTCCCACAGAGGGACAGGA